AATTTATGATTATTGGCCATTTGGTTCTTGAAAAAAAAACATTAAAAAAATGCAAAATTATTTATGTTTGAGAAAAAAAATTAAAAAAATCCTCGATGAGAAAATTCTTTAAAAAATCCACGAATATTGGTCTGTTGGCCCCTGAAAAGAATTCTTTAAAACCGATTCTTTACCGCTATTCACCAATCTGTTGGTCCTTCAAAAAATTCTGAAATCACCATTATTGATCTGTTGATCCCTGGAATATATTTTTAAAAATCTACATTTTGTGTTTTGCTGGTTCTTGAAAACCTAATCTTCAAAAATGATGAATTATAAGTCAGTTGGTCCTTGAAAAAAAATTATTTAAAAAAATCCTGTTTGTCCTTGGTCTGTTGGACCTGCACAGATAATTTTCTGCCAGAGTGATATCAACAGAAGGACAGATCAAGAATATATATACTTTGTGGGTTAAAAATGTATATTTCGAGGTGTTACATACGGAATGACAAACTTAATATACCCTCCATACTATGGTAGAGGGTATAAAAATACCCGATCCCTAAAAAAAAACTTTAAAAAATCCTCGATTATTGGTCCGCTGATCCTTGAAAAATATTCTTTAAAATTTAATGAATGATTATTGAAATATTTGTCCAAGATCCTGTAAAAATCTGTAAAGTATCCACGATCCTTGGAAAAACTGCGATCCCTGCAAAATATATATTTTTTTTTTAAATCCAAGATTCTTAAAAAGTTATTTTAACACATTTTTTATTATTAAAAAATCAAAATCTTTTAAAAATCCCCATCTAAATAATTTTTCTTTGTCTCTCCACATTTACACCCAATCTGGCAACCCTATTCAATTGTTGGCTAAAATTTATTATGCGGCTTTAAGGAAATCGAAGAGAAAATATGGTTCACACACGAAAATCAGCAGCGAAGACACTGCAGAGACGGGCGACATCGTTAAATGGCAGGCAATTGCAACAAAAATTCCTGACAGGCAACAACAAATAGCTACCCACATTCTGCAATCTAGTGCAATAGCAACAGAAGAAAAACCATAAATGTTGTTGAAAAGGTTAGTGAAGTGTTTGGAATGCATCGGTGATGACAAGAGTGAAAGAAAGAAAAAAACAACAACATAAATAATATTATTAAATACACAACCACGACGACGACGAGAAACATGTGCAAAAGAAAAACAAATAACAACCATTATTTGTGTTGTTTTTGTATTGTTGTAGTAATAACGACAACGTTTCTCATTAGCTAAACCATAGGTAGCCGAGGCAGTCACATAGGTGGGTATGCATGAATGTATGTTTGTATAATTGTTTTTTAATGAATTAATTTTGTTTTTTGGTTTTTTGCTTGTTTTCATTTATTAATTAGTACCGTTAGACGTCGTGGTGGCTTGGTGAATAAATTATTATAATTATTTTTAGGTTTAACATTTTTTTTGCATTGAAAGATAGAGAGAAAAAAGCAAAACAAAACAACCGGCAAAAATAACAAAACACAAACAATTCAAAGGTGTCTTTCTAAAAAGAATGTAATGAGAGATGAGGGAAAAATAACATGAGAGCTTGGGTGTTAAGTGCTCTCTCCATGCATGAGAGAGAGAATGACAGAGAAATATCATGAAACGAGCGGGAAAATAGATCATATTAATGGAGTGACTTGAAACAATTGACAGTTAACGAGGATTTACTGAGGAAAAGTGATTTATTTAAATGGAAAAAAGAATATTTTGGAAAGCAAAATAAGGGAAAATAAGTAAATAACTATATATTACAATTGTTGAATTAATATATACCCGGCATGTGTATTTTTCTAACAAAGAAGTTACCTAATTTGTAAACTAATTAACACTGATTTGATTCTTTAGATATTTGTTAGCAGATATCTTTCGATGGGATCTAAATTAATTGAAGACTAAGGACTTCTCAGAGGACACAACAGTAGAATATAGTGTTAAATGAGTAATTCTAACCTTCGAGATGGAATACTCAGAACATATGTGACATATATTTTACAAAAAAAAAAAGATCCAGATAAGCGGAGTTCCAGACATTTCAAACTTCCTCCTTCAGGCGTGTGTAAGAAGAAGCTGTAGAATGTAGAGAAGGAGGGTTAATAGTAAAAGAGAGACTCTAGGTCAACAAACCTAACAAGCTAGTCTGCCAAAACTTTTATGCTGCTGAGGTGACGTCATGTCTTAAATAAATCCAGCATCTGAAAAACGTTGAACTAGTAGTTTAAGGTAGCTACGTTAGGGTTGTGCATTTGTTATTTGACACAAAGTGTTGGAAAAAATTCGAAAGCCCTTAAAACCTATCCAAATGAGATTGGAAGATTTATGGCTATAAACATGGAATAGAATTTTCAAAAAAAAAAAAAAAAAAAATGAGAATAATGCAAATATATTTACAGATCATAAGAGGGGCACCATATTTGACTTGGTTCGATCTGCAGTTTTGGATTTTTGGATCATGCCAAAATGTAAAATTCCGCTTACAATATCTGCCCGACTAAAGCTAAGTACATTTTTTGAGAACTTTAAAATCTAAAACAAAATTTTTTTATGCCTCCAAAGTTTGTTATGGATTAGAAGCTACTGCGCTCCACGGCTTTTTTTGGCAAATATTATCGCAGGGATTTTAAAAGCACTTGCACACCAACCAGCATGACGACGTATAATGGCAGGCGTCTCCAACACCCACAAGGTCATTTACGAACTAAATACACATACACCCCTTATGAGCGCTTTACATTCGTCATTCATTCGTGGCAGCATGTTGTTGACCTTTTTCGAAAAAAATAAGCACATAAAAAAACGTTTATTTTTTATTAAATTCCAACGGATGTCATTATCAGCTTTCATTTTATAATCGTTATATTCTCAATAACATCCAAATGTATATTTTTTTTTTTTTTTCATTTCAGTGCAATGAAAAGCCTGGCATTTGTTATATGCATATGTATTCAGTATTTTGTTGTTTTATAAGCTGATAATGCAGCACACTTGCCCCATGCATGCCTTATTCTCAGACCATTTGACAAAATGAGATTTTTGTTCAAAATCGTTTAAAGCGTTTGCATGGGACGCAGCTTGTAGTGCAGTCGGAAAAATATCAAGCAAATGAAAAGAGAAAATTGAAAGTGTAAATGAATTTTGAGAACATGCACGCACGCAGCATGCTGACTAATACTTTTTGAAGTCTTTGTTTGGGTCTTGATATGGAAAAGGGTTTTGATTTTTTTTCTCAGCATAGAAGCGAGGCGAGAATTGCTGGGGTTCTTAGAAATTGGGTTGCCTTTAAGAAAACTAATCACTTTTTGGGCAAGATTATGTGGATTTAAAAATGCCTCTTACATTATTTTTATGTTCGCAGGATTAAGCAAAATCAATGGATTAAAATTGCCGATTCCACACACTTTGAGGATGAAGAGGATTTTAAACAATAATGCTTAGATTTTCCTTTGCGATAATTTTGCTTCCTGGCGTAGCCATCAAAGTAGAAATGACTTTTTGATCGAATTTCGAATCATTTCAAGCATCTATCAGCAATAACATGCCGTTGTTGATGATCGGACGGCTTGAATTCTTGTGTTAATCTTACTTTACGATACGTTTGTGGAATTCCAAAGCACGACGAGGAGTGGAGCAATGTGGCTACAGCAACAATATTCTCGGTTGATGTTGAACATCGTACCCGGTTTTTATACCATCAGTCTCATGGCTAGAGAAAGTATATATCATTTGATACGGCCTAAAAAACGAGCCTCATCGAAAAAAATGGGTTAAGACCCTAGGTCTCTTTGGAACAAATCCGTTTCAGTAGATTTGGAGTCGATCTAGCGATGTCCGTCTGTTCATCAGTCTGGCTGGCTGGTATGCACGATAACTTGGTACATCGTAATATTATTGTCAAACTTAGATCGAGTTAGGAAATGGGCAATATCGGTCTACTCCTTCTGGTAGTTCTCCCACAAAATGTCAACATTTTCTAAGAAAATATTTTACTGCACAGAAAATGGAGGGATAATCCGATTTTGCTCCAACTTTGAAAATTCAAATATTTCCATCAGCCCTATGCCAGGTGCGGAAGGGGACATTATCGGTCCACTCCATTAAGTACCTCCCCCAGAAAGGGTCAATATTTTGAATAATTATTACTCTTATAAAAAGGTGATGTAAGTGTCCCATTAACACAAGGCCTGAGGTGAAGATGGAATATTTCGGTCCACTCCTTCTAATACCTCCCCCACAAAGGGTCAACATTTTGAATATCTGTAAAGCTGATAAAACACGAAATTAACATCCGATTCCTTTCAGACTTGGCACATCCCAATATTTCCATCAACACAAGGTCTGTCATAAGCATGGTAGAGACCGGACCATTCTGTCAGCAGTTGCCAAAACAGTTCGAAAAATTGTTCTTGCAGTGAAGCTAGGTCAACCTTACCCAAACGGACAGTTCGTATTTTTAATGACAATGTTATTTTTTTGGTAGTCTAGTCTAGGCATTGTAATATGTCTCTGATTGAAGTAGCCATTTGTGGGAACATGGCAGAAGTAACATGGATTACAAATTTTATAGAAAATTCCATTAATTTCTTTTCAGTTATCCTAGATTTCCTTTGTCACAATGCCAGCTACAGGCATATATCTGGAATGAAGACAATAGTATATGTATTTGTTATTTCTATTTATCATTGCTATCCAATACCCACATAATACGATACAATTTCTCTGTGTGTGTACACCCATAAAAAATGTATCCCAACTCTGAACTGATAACACCACAAAATATCAACCAGCCAGCCAGCAATCACTTGGTTACAAAATAAGGGGCGTCCGAAACAGCATCAACACCATATGAATTGATATTGACAGGCAAACGAGGCCGGCAACAAATAAAACTAATTGAATATTAATACATTGTACAGCGAAATACATAAATAATATAAATATAAATTCATTCAGGGAATGAGTGCATACTACTTACAATCTAAATGTTTCTTCTTGGGACCAATGCACTCTTCCGTTGTGGCCTTGCATACCGATTTGGCCAAACCTTGACCGGCCAAACTGTGCCTGGCAGCCAGTAATCTGTCGTTGATTGTTTGTCCGGCCATAGACATGATGATGACTTGTGGTTTTTTGTTTTGCGGCGTTTAATGCACAATTAATAAAATTAACCAAAAATTAATTTTAGTTTTTCTTTTTTTCTTGATTGTTTGATTGGCCTTGTCTTGGTTTTTTTGTTGAAATTATTCCGTTTTGTAATGCGTTAATTCTTGTGACAGCCAACAGTTGTTATTTGTGTTAGAGAGAGAGAGAGAGAGCAGCAAAAAGGCGCGAGAGAATGAGGCAATTGATTTCTTTTGATGCAATTGTGACAATTTGTAATTAATTTGTCTTCTTTTTCTAATTCCGTGGTTTTTTGTCAAGTAATGAAAGTACCAGCTTTAATTACCATCAACTGCAAGTAAATTGTTAACATGTTTTATTAAAAAAAGATAAACACACACGCACATTAGTCACTAAAAACACTAATCCCAAAAGGCCTTCAATTGCAAATGTGGGAAAGATAAAAGGCAAGAGAGAGCGAGCGAGGGAGAGACAATTGATTTGTTTTGATGTAATTGAGGCAGTTTTGTTATTAATTATATTTGTATTTTCTTTGGTGGTTTTCACATTTATGACGAGTAAAGAAACAAACAACACATTTTTCCATAATTTTCATGGTATTTTTAAGACTTTTTGATAAATAAAACACAATAATTTGTATTTCTTAAGATATCCAATTGAAAGCGAGAGGCAAGATGGGGCATTGTCACAAAAATATATTTTTTTCTTCAATTTTTGATTTTTCTTTTACTTTTTTCCACTTTTTTTAATAATGTGAAGCACTTAGAATTTATTTTCATTTAGTTAAATTATTTTTAGCACTATTTTTATTAATAAAACACCCAATAATATTCTATTCCTTAAGGCCCCCAATTGGGAGAGAGACAGAACATGAAATTAACAATTTTATTTAAAATTTTTGTTTATCTTTAGTTTTTTTGAATTAATCTCAATTAATGAATCAATATACACTGCTTTTTTTTAATTAAAGTACTTTTAAAACTATTTTATTAACAAATTACACAATAGATATTATTTTTAATGGGGAGAGTGAGAAAGAGAGAGGATGATGAGGCAATTTGAAACAAAAATGCATTTATTCTTTAATTTTCGCCCTCTTTTGGTCTAATTTCTGCATTTATGTAAAAACTAAAGGAGGCAATGTTGTTTTTCATTAACAAAAATTAATTTCTAGCAATTTTCATTGATAAAACACGTATTAGTTGCTATTCTCTAAGAACTCCCCAATTGGGAGAGAAGGAAAAAAGTCGAACCTACAAATGTTCTTGAATTTTTGTGTTTCTTGTATATTGTTGGCATATGTTTTAAATTATGAATAAATCATAATTATATTCTATAGAAAATAAGCTTTTTTAAGACATTTTTCCTAATAAAACACAAATATTACTATTCCCCAAAAGTTTCAATGGGAAAAGAGAGGAAGAATGAAATAATTTCACAATACTAACAATTATTACTTAATTTTTGTTTTTCTTCTGGCTTTTTCGCTAAAAAATCGTTTTATGAAGTCAGTGCTATCGATTTCCATTTAATAGAAACAATAAATAATACATTTTGTTAATAATTCACAACAATTAAAATTCTTTAAGACCTCTGATTGAAAGAGAGAGAGAGAGAGCATAAGGCATTGATTTGTTTTGATGCAACAGTGGCAACTTTTTGCTAATATTTTATAATTTTTTGCTTCTTTATCCCACTTCAACAATAAAATTAAATTTGCCATTGAACTTTTAAGCAGAAAAAAAGTATTCTATAGAAAACCCTGCAATTCCCAACATAATTCTCTCTCACAAGTCCAATTGGAATTATTTGACCGATAAGAGACACGAGTCAAGAGCAGCAGCAAAAACAACATCGACGACGTCGACACAAAGGAGCCAACGATATATAAAATAATAGGAATGACCCACAAAACAGTGTTTTATTTGGCACATCTTTTCCAAATGGCTCAACATACACACTTAAAACGCCCCCTAAATAACCGAGAGCGAGAGCAAACAACAAAAGAAAAACACCCCTTAAAAAAACTCAAGTTACAACCATATGACGTTTACTTGATATTACAACAAATCCTTCTTCGCCGCTCAATGACGACAAGGCGACGACGTTCACTTTTCAAATTATTGTTTCGTTTTTCCTTTCAGTTGGCTTTCTTGTGGATTTATTGATTTTCTCCACACAAATCATATGATATGATATTTTGTAACAAACAAACAAACAACAACTACAACACACAATACGAAAACCCAATTAGAAATGAAAAAAAAAAAAAAACACTTTGCATAGGACAAGTGTGAGAGTGAGAGAGGGGACAACAATAAAATATGGAGGAGAGGCTCCATCCCATTAACCTATGAAGAATGTCAAAAAGATGTTGGATTTTGTTGTTGTTGCTACTGCTGCTGTTGGCGACGTGTGTAACCAATCTGTTGTTGTTTTTGTTATCAATACTAAGCTGCTGCTCTTCTCCACTGATTGCACACACACACTGTTTTTCACTTCTTTTCTTCTTCTCAAGAACCAACTATTTGTTCTTCTTCTTAATGTCGTTAACATCATCGTCGTCGACGTCCACGACGTATTGGAATCAACATTTATATATTTCTTTCATTTTGTATCCACTTTTTTTTTCTTCTCATGGAGGTTTGTTACTTTTGCCTGGCAGGCAGTAACAGAGAACACAGAAAAATACAGAATAACTTGGCTCTCAAATAATACGTGGCTCAAAATTTTTTTTGGATAAATATTCTTTTTATTTAGCATAAAACACCAACAACAATCATTGAGACAATTTTGCAGCCAAATAACTCGCCCAAAATTCTTTCCAAAAAACCAAATTTTGTACCGTTGCTTTAACAACAAAAAAAAACGCACACACACCGTAAATTGGAATTGTAATGCACAAGAAGAAATTAACGTAATTCACTTTTTTTCTACAATAGCCAGCAGCTTGCGCACAGAAGAACACTCGACAACTTTTACAATTCCTTTTTTTTTTTTCTTTGCTTCAATTGGCCTTTTCTATTAATTGGTATTCATTACACTTGTTTTATGATTTTCCATTTACAATAGACACTTTAATATTTACTTTTTTTGTATAAACTTAATTTTTTTCCTTCTTGGAAAATTTATATATTTTCTTTGACTTTTCTGCCCGTTTTAGTTGGATTTTTATGTATTTTTTCTTCCCTTGCCTAGTTCTTTCTCATTCGATTCGGATTTTTCAATTGTAAATCAGTATGTATCAGGGATATGTAGGTCGACTTTTGGCCAATCGATTAATCGCCTTTGCATGGAGGGAAAATAATCGAATAAGTGTATGAGTGATGTTGACAGTTGGCATTATCCGGATATTTTCCTTTCCTTTGTTATGAAATAACGACTGAAATAAGAACTTTTCAACTAAATATGGAAACGGATAAATTGTCAAGATAACATTGTAACAAAATAAAATTGACAATAAATATAACTTTTCTTGTAGTTAATATGATCTCAAATAATAACACACAGTAATTTGAATTGCAGATTATTAACCGGGTACAAACGAATGAAAATCCATAAAAATAACTTTGTCAGAAAGTACAAAAACGAAAAATGTTTTTCTTCTATATATTGCAGGCACTGGAACCGAGTTGTCCCCATGACATCGAAGAAAGTTCAAAACTGGTAGAATTTTTCAGGTTCTAAATTAAGAGAATTATCGACGATAACAAATTCTTCAGTGAAAGAAGGATCCATATATTTCCTCTTTTGTGCCTAGTACTTCAGTCAATTTGTAAGTCCAAGTAACATCAATATTTTTCGATAAGCCGACTTACATAAAGTTCGGGGCAGTTCGATTTCTATCATTTATAGGTACAGGGTGAGGTGAAAAAACTGCATCTAACTTCAGACTGCTATTATTTCTAAGCCACTCGTCAGACAGCTGTTAAATGATCAGACAGCTGAGCTGTCAATGACAGCTCATTATATTGCTTACAAGCGTACAAAAGCATTTTGGTGAGAATTTTCGAGAAAAAAAGTTATTCGTGATGGATGAGAATTCAAGTGTGATAGTGTGATTTGTTTATATTTGGCTGCAGAACCACAAGTGGCTATCGGTACTCTATGGCTATAGAGTACTCCAGCATATAAATGTGAATAAGTCTTTTGTGATACTGGTTGCGTAGCCAGATGTCGTGGAAGTGGACGGAAGAAAACAGCAACATCAGCAAAAATGGTTCGAAAAGTAAAGAAGCCACTTGATCGAAACCCGCGTCGCAGTGGCCGAAGAATGGCTTGTGAGCTGAACATATCGCAATATTCCATTCGGCAAATATTGAAAAATGAGCTCGGGGTAAAGCCATTGAAATGCCAAAAAGTGCAAGAACTTACACCGCAAAAGAAAGAAAATAAACCCAAAAAAGATCTAAAGTACTGCCAAATTCTCTCTCTCCGATGAGAAAACTTTCGTTATCCAGCAGTTTGTAAACAAACAAAATGATCGGGTTGACTTGCCAAAGAGGTCAGCTGAAAGTGTGCACCTTCGGTTGGCCACCAAAACTCCAGCGCTGGCCAGGTTGAAGGTGTGGGCCACCATAACAGCCGATGGTCGCTTCCGCTCGTATTAGTCGACCGTGACATCAAAATAAATACCGAATATTATCGCGAAAATATTCTGAAGGGTGTATTAAAGCCTTGTTGGGCACGCAAACATTTTGGCCGCAGACCTTGGACATTCCAACAGGATACAGAACCATCGCACTCAGCACGCTCCACCCCAGAATGGTTACAAAATGAGGTTCCTCGCTTCATTTCCAGAGCACAATGGCCACCCAAATCTCCGGATACCAATCCGTTGGACTATTGTCTGTGGAGCATTTTGAAAAGCAAGGTTGGCACTAAAAATACCAAAGTGTCGATAACCTCAAATAAGCGTTTGGTCAGGAATAGGCCAAAATACCGCAGAGCAACATTCGGGCAGCGTGTGACGGTTTCATTGGCCGTTTGAAGGCCATAATTCGTGCAAAGGTGACCAATTCGAATAAATCTACACTTAATCTAAAATTTGATGCTATTTCCGACATTTTTTGCTATAATTCAATAAAATTTAAAAAGAAAAATATGTAAAAATTATGGCGTTTGACTTTGTTGCAGTTTTTTTTATCTCACCCTGTATAATGTTTGCCAATTTTCGCCTTGTGCCACAGAAAAAAATTCCGTTACATATTTTTTTTTGAGAAAATTTCATTTATTGTACCCTATTTATCGTTTTTTAAGCCGTCTAGAGATAAACTTTTGTTAAAAATGCATATTTTTTGTTAGAAATACACAAATCCTACTGTGTTTTTATGGTTTTTTACTGAAACAATGTGGCAACATTTCCCCTCTACAAGATAGGGTTATGGAAATCGACTTTGGTCGGGTAAGCAGCTGATTGTTTATCAAATAAAAAATCGATTTCTAGAAACCTACATTGAAAAATTTTACACCTGTTTCTGTTTTCGATCTAAGGAACCAATTAACAGTCTTTCTGTTTTGATTCCCCATCATTATTGCTATTCTTCCATGTCGCATTTCGCTTTAGAGATGCCATACTGCACTGCCCATAGTATTCGTACCGTAACAATTGCCGGTTGGTTACATTAAAAAAGATGTCATATTTGATACGCAAGGCAATTAGCGATAAGGTAAGTAAAAAACACAATTTTAAACGTATTAATAAATAAAAGCACATAAATTTGTATTATTTTCACATTTTCCACTATATTTCCTTACAGATTACACAAATTGTAAGGAACAGTAATGTTTACTATGAGCTGGAGGCCCCCTTAAAACGCAGCAATTGCAAGCCGGTTTTGCAATGGTCGATTAAGGGCAGTAACACTTCAGAGGAGGAAGTTTTCAAAGTCCTGAAAGCTGTTTCATCTTTAAAATATGACCCAGACCTGGTGCAGGAAATAAGACCCATTGAGGGTAGTGGGAAAACACCCAGCAAAGTAGAGTTCCATCTACGCGAAGAAACTTATGTAAAATCTCTGCTAAGTCAATCTGAAAAGGAAATTCCTGTTGAGAGGAGACACCAACATATGGTTTTTGAGTATAGTTCACCGAATATTGCCAAGCCTTTCCATGTGGGTCATTTGCGTTCCACCATTATTGGCAATGTTTTGGCCAATATACACCAGCAGCTGGGCTATCAAGTGAGCAAAATGAATTACCTCGGTGATTGGGGTACACAATTTGGTTTGCTCCAAGTTGGAGTGGAACTACTGCAGGCTACAGATGAACAAATTCAAAATGCTCCCATTGAAACTCTGTACAAGGCCTATGTTACAGCCAATAAGGAGGCAATTGATGATCCATCCATTGCCGACAAAGCAAGGGAATATTTTCGACAATTGGAATCGGGAAACCAGTCACCCGAAGTAATCAAACAATGGCAAAAATATAGGGAATATACCATTAATGAATTACAAACAGTCTACCAACGTTTGGGTGTTTCATTCGATATCTACGATTGGGAATCTTTGTATTCGCAAAAACACATCACAGCGGTCCTGCAGGCATTAGAATTGAAAAACCTCCTATTGCCCGAAAAAGATGGACGTAAAGTGGTTGAGGTGGACAATAGGAGGGTACCTGTTATTAAGAGTGATGGGTCCACCTTGTATTTGACACGAGATATTGCTGCCCTTTTGGATCGTTGGCAGCGGTTTAAATTTGAACAGATTTTCTATATTGTGGAAAATGGTCAAACTGATCACTTTAAGGCATTGTTTCAGACAACCTCGAGGTTGAAGGAAGAGATTGATATTTCCAAGTTAAGGCATGTGAAATTTGGTCGTATCCACGGCATGAGTACACGCAGAGGTCAGGCTGTCTTTTTGCGAGATCTTTTGGATGAGGCCCGTGATCGCATGCAGGAGAAACAAGCGCAGAGTCCAAGTAAGTTAATGAAATATTTCTAAAATCACTAATTGATTTTTGCAAGGATTTTTTTAGAAAAGAATTTGAAATCGAATTGAAAATCATTCAAAGTGTTAAGGCAGACAATATGGTGGTAATCTTTTTTGGGAATGAAATAATTGATCAGATATATAAAGATCCTGCAATTATTCCATCTTCTGTATATTTCTTATATTGAAACCCTACCTCAATCGATTCGAAACTTCTCAAGATAGTGATTTTAAATTACAATAAGTATCTATATTCCTCGTCAGAGCATATTGGCTATTCCAGACGACCCATAATTTGGCATCAGATTGTCATCATCTACTTGACCAAATTATCACAAATGTGAAATATTTTCCACATATCTATCCTATTAATCCAGTGCGTTCATTCTGCTCATTGTTTCGATCGGCTGGTAATCAAGTCGGAACACCAACTAACCCAAATCATAAGACATGTCTAAATATATAGACTTAGGTTAACAGATCAAATTTTCGTCTGTACTGAAACAAAAAATTAAACTGCAATGCTTCCCGGATAAATGGTCAATTAGGGGAAGTTACAGATAAAAGAGGCCATTGTAAAGGTACTAAAAATGAAACGGGCTAGAGACCAGACCTAAATTAATTCAAGGACAACATTCAACGCGTAGTTGATGATGGCATCTGTGACGGCATCAGCATAAATGCTACTCCGAACTGTCTGATAGGTTTCTTTCTCTGGAGGCGAGGAACAAATTGAGTTGAGTAGATAATAACACTCAACCTATAAATTCTTCAACTGCCCACACAGTAAAAAATTAAAAATGGTGCGGGATTGAGACTGGAATCAAATGCCTCAGGGAGTACTTTCCTCACAGATGAAAGTTTCCTTTGTACTGAAACCAAAAATTGAAACTGCTTTGAGACCGAGCTCAGGTAGTACTTAACGGATAAACGACCACTCAAGGAATATTACAAATAAAAACTCCATTGCATAGAAACTAAAAATGAAGCGGGATTGAGACAAGGTCAAAATAATTAGAGGACGACATTCAGGCCGTAGTTATTGATAGCACCTGTATCTGCATCAGTAAAAATGTCACTCCGAATTGTCTGCTACACTTCCTTTTCTAGAGGCAAGACAAGAATTGTTGACTAAAGGTTAACACCCAAACAGGTACGTCAGCGAATTGCATTATGGTAAGGTGTGGGAATGACCGTCGCATCCCATGTAAAGGTTCACTGATGTTATCAGAGGCACCCAGTTCTCGGAAATCATTATGACAGATCTAAATATTCATTCACTGCATTGCACTAGAATTCGCAAAACAATATGGGCCGCATAACTGGCCACAGACTGACCTATCGATTTGTAAGAGGTCAATAAGGTCTCCTCGTCCTCTCAAGGCTGTATGGAGGGCGAGAAATTCCGGAAATGTAGTTGTTAAACAGTTCGGGAGATATCACCTCTCCTAGAGGAGAGAGGAAGGTCTTTATATCTAGAGCGAAGCGCTAGAATTCGCCGACAATTCTGGGGCCGCATAACTGACCAAAGACCGATCAATTCAATTTATATCTCAAGGCTGTCTGGAGAACAAGGAATACCGGAAATGTAGAGGTTAAACAATTCCTGAGATATCACCCCTTCTTAGGGAAATTTCCGTTTCACCCTACGGGGCTTAGACTTCTTGGTCCTGAATTCGCGTTATAAGAAATCAATTAGATCGTTCTGTTCGCGTGCAAATTGCTACCGGTTAGTGCCTTTAGGACCATGCTCGTACTATTCAATTTATACCTCAAGGCTGTCTGGAGGGTAAGAAATTCCGTATAGGTATATGTTAAACAGTTCCTGAGATATCACCCCTTCTTACGGAAATTCCCGTTTCACTCTGATTGACTTGGATTTCTTGTTCCTGAATTCTTCGTACGTCTCTCGTTCTCACATATAGTTGATAATCCAACGTTTCAAGCTTGGCCGGAGGGTAGCATTCCTAACGTCCTCTAACCCGTTGCCGTTGGTAATTCAGGAGCTACTAACACTTCTATGGCATGGCTTGATCTGGTTTCGTCCTGGGCTAAATACGTATAGATATAGAATCTGTGTTGATGGTTGGTAACTAATATCTTTCTCTGATGATATCTGATGGGTCGAAGAAAGCAGGCTGTATGACTCACCTTTGTTAGCATCCTTGACTGACTTTAATAGCGGGACAAACCGGCCCATTTTCCAAGCTTCGAGAACAATGTGTGAATGGATAGCGACAGGTTAGCCAGCTTATCAACTCCCGGCGTTTTAACATTACCATAGCGATTTGAACATTACCATAGCGATTTGAATGACCAGCGATTTGAATGACTTATCGTTGCGGATGATATTTGCCATATCACAAATCGGTAACTGTGTTGATACCTCCTCGCGGCGAATAGATCTAATACGACATAGTATTTTTCCCTTCGCCCGATCAAACAGTGCAGCTTTTCCGAAAAATTTCCACACCAGCCCTAGACATCTTTTACTTTCAGTTTTTTTAATTTATTTCTTCGTCTCCCTTTCAGCCACCAAAGTCGATGTGGATTCCAACGAAGTGGCTGACATTTTGGGTGTTTCGGCGGTGATAATCAACGATTTGAAGCAACGGCGTCAAAGAGACTACGAATTCAGCTGGGACAAGGCATTGCAAATGAATGGTGACACCGGCGTTAAATTACAATATACCCATTGTCGTTTGTATAGTCTATTGGAACAAAATGAAAATATTGATCTGAATAATATCAATACAGACCCAAATTGTTTAAAAGAACCCGAGGCCCTAGATGTCCTAAACGAAATTGCCAAATATCCACAAATATTGTGGCAGACCAAGGAGCAGTTGGAGGCCTGTATTTTAGTCAATTATTTGTTTGGATTGAGGTAAGAAGAGCTTAAAAACTAAATTTTAAATAAAATTAATCCATTTCTTTATTTTCAGCAACTCCACCAGTCGTGCCCTGAAAAAGTTACCCATCAAAACGGAAATTGATAGCAGGAAACAACAGCACAGATTATTGCTTTTCAAAACGGCCAAAGGCATACTAAAACAAGGCATGGAGTTATTGGGTTTGAAACCCTTAAACCAAATGTAAATTTTATTATTTGTTAACAAAAACACATTTAAAAAAGTAATACAATTAACGTTTCTTCCATGTGTATTTGCGGCGGGCACCTTCCTGGCCGAACTTCTTGCGTTCACGTCTGCGATAATCACGTGTCAAAAGACCGGCTGAAAGCAGTTTTGGAAGAAGGGAAAAGAAACCAACCACAATTAGAACCAATCAATTTTTGTTCTCAATAAATAAAACAACAAAATGGATCACAGCACAATATACTTTACCTAGACGCATCGATTCAATCGTTTCCTGATCAACAAAGCTACGCAAGCACATGGCAATGCCCCAGCGTATGGCACCCGCTTGACCCGAGCTGCCACCACCTTCCACATTGGCTTCGATGTCACATTTGCCCAGCATGTCGGTAAAGATCAATGGGAATAGAACCTGAAAAAAAAAAGACCGAAATGAAAGTCAATAATTTTGTGGATTTATTTCTAATACTTTTCTCTTCAAAGCTAAGCTACAATTTATCATTGCTTTTGTGGCGTGGGTCTTTGTTTGTTTTTTTTTTTTTTTTTTTTGGACAACATTGTTAGTTTTGTTGTTAGGTGAAATATAAGTCAGGTTGTCTTTGTTTGATGTCTTTTTTCTTTGTCTTCACATAAACCATTTGTTTTGTTGTTTTCTTTGGAGATTAACAATCAATCAAAATCACAAAAAAAAAATAGCAAATTAGGCAAAAACTTTAGAAACCGGTAGGGCAATAGCATGACAGTAAACGTAAACAATTTATGTGTTTATGTTGAGAAGATTGGACTTTGATAAGCAGCATGACGACATGTCCAAAAAATATATGATTCGAAATAGTAATTTCTTTGGAATCTTTTTTAAATTGTTTGTTTTTTTTCAATGGAAGTATTCCATTAATAATCCCCAAAGATGCTCAACATAGAGGTAAATACGAAAACACTTCTAGGTTGGAGAAATCATTGTATTACTCCTAGAGACTATATGCGTAAAGTTAAAAGGGAAAAAGAAAAGTAACAGGAGTTTATTGATAAGAGATTTGGAACTCTGGAGCAAACAATAAGTGATGGTAGAGTTCATATAACCGGTTGAAATTGCCATCTAAATTCGTCTTGTCTTTTAGTACAGTAGAAGTTTTATTATTCCGCATTAGATCCACATATTTTTTTATTTTGCCCCTATTCGGTTTTCCCCCCAAAATTGAAATTACATAAAAATAGCTCCTCATTTCAATTAATTTCCTATTGATTCCAGTTAATGTTTGTCATTCAATTATCTATTCTGTTGTTTTGTTTTATTACATTAGTGAAATTTGCAACAACTGTTTGCAATTTCCCGAACCAAATTTAAATACAAAAGCCTGTAAATTCTCACACACAGCCATCGACCGACCGACAACATTCTTCTCACTTTATAGCGTTGTTTAAAACATTCTGACGTGATCAAGCATTTTTGCTAACGACTTGATTTTTAATTATAGACCAAACACCAGAAAATTTAAATTGGAGAGGAAAAATTATTCATTAACTGATTTAAAAAAAATGTCCAAAAGATTTTGTAAATTTCGTTGATTAACAGCTTATTTAGGGGAGAGATATTGGATTATTTGGGGATTAAAATGCAATAATCCAGTCTGAGAAAAACATTTTGTGAGAGATAAAACCTTTTGCCAGAATTTTAATAGAAGGTCTGAGAACAACCACAACCAATTGATAAAAGGAAGGAGGACCAAAAAGGATATTATAAGCTAATTAATAGAATCAAAAGTAGTAACCTAGAATAGGTTGGTGGTGGAATTATAACAGAAAAAGGCTTGAGCGGAATATTTTCGTTTTTCTTTCTTCATTCAGAGAAAAAATAAACGACGTCATAGAATGCCCAAGAAGAACAGCCAAAGAAAATATTATCTTTGCCGAATCGTAATAAATTTAACTACGTCTAGAATTTATCTAAACGAGGTGCGTTGAGCAAGTTACAGTAGTTTGATAGATCAGAAAAGAGCAACATATATTCCTATTGACAAGGGGAAGTTTCACTTAAGAAGGGCAAAAGGTCTTCTCACCGAAGGCCAAAATCTTATCATTGTAGGTCTGCTTACCGGAGGCCAAAGAGTCTTATCAGAGGACCAGAAGTCCTTTTCATAAAATCCAAAAAGTGTTCTTACAGAATGCCAGAAGGTCTTCTGAAAGGAAGGCAGAAGATCTTCTCAAAGGAAGCCGGAAAGTCTTCTTATAGAAGAGCCGAAGCTCTGCTCAGAGAAGAGCAGAAGGTCTGCTTAGAGAAGAGCAGAAGATCTGCTCAGAGAAAAGCAGAAGGTCGGTTCATAGAAGACCGGAAGGTCTGGTCATAGAAAACCAGAAGGTCTGCTCAGAGAAGAGCAGAAGGTCGGCTCATAGAAGACCGGAAGGTCTGGTCATAGAAAACCAGAAGGTCTGCTCAGAGAAGAGCAGAAGGTCTTCTCATAGAAGACCATGAGGTCTTCACAGAGAAGAGCTGAAGTTCTTCACAGATAAGATCTGAAGTTCTTCACAGAGAAGATCTGAAGGTCTTCTCAGATAAGACCATGAGGTCTCCTCAAAGAACACCAGGAGGTCTTTTCATAAAAGACCAGGAGGTCTTCTCATAGAAGAGCCGGAGGTCTTCTCATAGAAGACTAGGAGGTCTTCTCATAGAAGACTAGGAGGTCTTCTCATAGAAGACTAGGAGGTCTTCTCATAGAAGACTAGGAGGTCTTCTCATAGAAGACTAGGAGGTCTTCTCATAGAAGACCAGGAGGAGAACTTCTCATGGAAGACCAGGAGGAGGTCTTCTCATAGAAGCCCTGGAGATGCTCTTCTCATAGAAAAGCTGAAGCAGGTCTTCTCATAGAAGAGCTGAAGGAGGTCTTCTCATAGAAGAGCTGAAGGCGGTCTTCTCATAGAAGACCAGGAGGTGGTCTTCTCATAAAAGACCACCAGGAGGTGGTCTTCTCATAAAAGACCACCATGATGTGGTCTTCTCATAAAAGACCACCAGGAGGTGGTCTTCTCATAAAAGACCACCAGGAGGTGGTCTTCTCATAAAAGACCATGAAGTCTTCTCATAGAAGACCATGAGGTCTTCTCATAGAAAAGGCGGAGGTCTTCTCGTAGAATAGCCGGAAGTCTTCTCTGGTAAGATCCAGAAGGTCTTCTCAGACCAGAAGTTTTTCTCATAGAAGACCAGAAGGTTTTCTCATAGAAGACCAGAAGGTCTGCTCGGAGAAGAGCAGAACGTCTGCTCGGAGAAGAGCAGAACGTCTGCTCGGAGAAGAGCAGAACGTCTGCTCAGAGAAGGGCAGAACGTCAGCTCAGAGAAGGTCTGCTCATAGTAGAGCCGAAGGTCTTCTCATAGAAGACGAGGAGGTCTTCTGATAGAAGACGAGGAGGTCTTCTAATAGAAGACGAGGAGGTCTTCTCATAGAAGACCAGAAGGTCTTCTCCAAGAAGACCAGAAGGTCTTCTCCAAGAAGACCAGAAGGTCTTCTCCAAGAAGGGCAGAAGGTCTTCTCCAAGAAGGGCAGAAGGTCTTCTCCAAGAAGACCAGAAGGTCTTCTCCAAGAAGACCAGAAGGTCTTCTCCAAGAAGACCAGAAGGTCTTCTCCAAGAAGACCAGAAGGTCTTCTCCAAGAAGACCAGAAGGTCTTCTCCAAGAAGACCAGAAGGTCTTCTCCAAGAAGACCAGAAGGTCTTCTCCAAGAAGACCAGAAGGTCTTCTCCAAGAAGACCAGAAGGTCTTCTCTAGGAAGACCAGAAGGTCTTCTCAAAGAAGGCTAGAAGGTCTTCTCATAGAAGAGCTGAAGGAGGTCTTCTCATAGAAGAGCTGAAGGAGGTCTTCTCATAGAAGACCAGGAGGAGGTCTTCTCAGTGAAGACCGGGAGGTCTTCTCATAGAAGACGAGGAGGTCTTCTCATAGAAGACCACGAGGTCTTCTCATAGAAGACCACGAGGTCTTCTCAAAGAAGACCACGAGGTCTTCTCAAAGAAGGCTAGAAGGTCTTCTCATAGAAGAGCTGAAGGAGGTCTTCTCATAGAAGAGCAGGTGGTGTGGTCTTCTCATAGAAGACCAGAAGGTCTGCTCATAGAAGACCAGAAGGTCTGCTCATAGAAGACCCGATTTTTTTGGTGGACTTCCAGACGAAGGAATAATGCCAAACCTGGGCCTCGCATAGTCTCTCGCATTCGGAATAAATTACAAATAACAGATGGACGACGGCAGCGTTTGGAACTAATGTATATACTAAATTCATCAATCACAACAACATCAGCAGCAATAACAACAACAACAATATCAGTATGATCATCAACGGCAACAACAATGACGACAAAACAACAAAAACGACATACAATGGCTTTGTGATCTGATCTGTAAAACGGACGCATGGATGTGAGGGCGGACCAACAACAACAAACCGATCACATAGCCAATGGATGGATGAATACATGGAGACGGACGGACGGACACAGATACAGAACAGATCTACCGACAAAAAAAACCGTTGATTTTTCTCAAAAAATAAAACTAAGTAACGAAATCAAAAAAAAAAAAAAAACGACGAAAAATAAACGTTATGTTCGAACTTTTGTCGCATCTCTCCTCGAATGCAAAGCGAGTGGAAAAACGCTTTGGAATATTTCAATGTTCAACGTCGTGGCGAAAAGTTCGTACGGGTCAAGTTTCGAAAAAATTGAGGCAAAAAAAAAGCCAAAACGACGGCGGTCAGCACATTATAAAATGTAGAAAAACAATAAAAATAAACAAAAATTTGAAAAAATTAAATAACAATTAACAAAAAAAATAATTAATAAAAAACAGAAAAAAAAAATAAAAACGAAAAAAATCAAAAGGAAAAACAACTGAAAAAACTCAAAATGCGTCTTGAAATGCAATGATGTCCTTTAGAAAGAAAAAAATAATACGTGATTAAATAAAAAAAAAATAATAAAGAAATATTTTAAATATTTTATGAATTATTTTTAAATATTAAATAGTCTCCAATGATTAAAAAAATTAAGCATAAAATAACATCTTGCAGATACAGACACCAGAAAAAAGGATAACATTGCTTCTCGAAAAAAAAAACGAAATAATTTGTTAATGGTGTTGACTGATCCAGCGATTGTTTAGTTTTAAGAACATTTTGTCGAGGATTTAAGACCACACCCTCCAAATAAATAAAAAAAAGGATAATAGTTTCGCCGCATGTTGAGAAAAAATGGATGTCCTTCGACAATGTGGATAATTATGGAAACACTGTAAGGATAATACGACATTTTCCAAATAAATAAGAAAATACTGAAGAAATTGGGAATCCTTACTCATCTCTAAAAAAAATCAGGATATGTAAAGATGCGTGTAGGTTGGAGTATGTTAACATAAATTTAAGGAGCAAATAGTAATCTAAAGGATTGAAACAAAAAAAAAAAAATGAAATATTGCGGCCAATATTTTTCGAACATTTCATGGAGAATAAAATTCGCTCATTGGAACATTAGAAAAAAATTGGACTTTTGGATATTTAGAAATTTTTAAATATGGATTCTAGGGAACTACAACCTCTGCATTTTCTTTGGGGGGAAATCGGTTTTTATACCCTTCACCATAGTATGGAAGGTATATTCGGTTTGTAACACCTCGAAATATACATTTAAGATTATTATTTATAAATTCGTGATCAGCATAAAATTCTATATCGATTTAGCGATGTCTGTCCGTCTATCCCTCTCGCTTCCGAACGAAATGAAGTAGGTTGATAAAATTTTACTCAAATGTATATTATGTCTGCAGGACTTTTGGTATTGAAAATGGGCCAAGTAGGTCCACGTCTTCGTATAGCCCCCATATAACGGCACCTCCAGATATTCGGTAATTTGATGATTTTAGCGACATTATTCACCGGAATTGTTTCAAATTTGGTATTTGAAATTCGTAATAGATACTACAGCCTATGTCAGAAAATTGTGTGTGCAGGTCCACGTCTTTGTATAGCCCCCATATTACCACAACTCCCGATATTCGTATTTTTAAGTTCGTAATGGATACTACAGTCTATAGCAGAAAATTTTCTGTGCAGGTCTATGTTTTGGTATAGCCCCGCATATAATGGTACCTCCCTATATTCGTTATTTTGATGAATTTAGCTACAATATTCACCGATTTTTTTCTAGTTTTTCATATGAATATTGTAATGGCTTATGATAGTCTTTGAAAAGTATTCCTAAAAAT